TGCAAAGAGCAGAGCCTTTGAAGTCAGACAGGAGTGCACAGTCTAATGAGTTTCCAGTTAGAGCTATAGTTTCTAGACAGGCCGGCAAAAGAAATGTCACAAAATTAAAGAAGAAACCTAATCCTTTGATAAAGATAAAAGTTCCATGGTCATCAATGACAGTTTAGTGTTCCATGCCTGGGAAGGTAACCCATGCTAAGCTAGACCAAGTGAATAGACTCTGAGGATAGGAAAGAGAGTACAACCTCTGGAAGGCAACAGTCCTGAGGTCTTCCATTAGTTTTGTTACTTATCAGCTGCATGATCAAGATTTCCCTTAGTCTCTAAGCTTTACTTTCCACAGCTGTAAAATGTGAATATGAACCTTGCTTATAGGGTTGTTTTATTAGAAATAAGGTATGCAGAGCACCTATAGCACCTGGCATGCAACAGGTATTCACAAGTGGTAATGAACTATTATTCCTTCAGCTTTTAATTTAGCAGCGAGTCTAGTCTTATTCACAGAGAAGCAAAAATAATAAAATATGAAAATCGAAACAGAAGAAAGCCAAAAAGATAAATAGCAAGATATAGAGCCAGAAGGGCTAATGATGTCTCATAGGCCCTGAGACACAGGGAAAAAGGAAACATTCTCCTACAGTGAGAAGAAAGGAAATAAAGTAGTCTGGAGCCACAAAGAATCTAGGACAGAGCCCTCCTGCTGCATTAGCGCTGGGTGACTATAAAAACATGAGGTCTGCTCTCAGTAGTAGAGGTATGCATAGTGGATTCTATTATAATTCTGTTTTCACTGAAAACTTGCCCCAAATTTTCTTTTGAGGTGAAACTCTCCAGTATTTTCTATAGCTCAAATTGATTATTTGAAGTAGCATCAAAAGAAAGTAAAGATACTTGTTACTGCAAGGCAAGGAGATGGGAGAAGAGACACGAAATTATAAGATGCCTCTTGTATAAAGTGAACCATGTTAATTGAAATTCAGCATGAGCGATTCTGTGCTCCTTTAAAGCACAGAATATGGACAATACTGACTAAAACACATATAAGGTGAACTCCATATTCTCTGCTTATTTGTGCCAGCATGGCTTAATGTCTACAGCCTACATGCATGGCTTCTACAGTCAACTCAGCACAAAAATAACTGGCTCATTCAGTTAAATCAATCAAACTGTTGGTCAGTTTAGTTTAACAAAAGCACGACCATTGTTTTACCATGCAAATCAAACTCTTGTGTAGAGACAGATCTACAATCTTCTGGGTAATTTAATTTTCATTATTTTAAAAATCATGTTGAAATAGCATAGTGTATGCATAATTATTATAAACTCTGAGTGTGGATTCAGCTATACTTTTAGAAATGACTAACCATATTTCATGTAGTTCAGTCTCCACCTGGCATCATTTTTCTCAAGTTCAGTCTTCATCTGGTACCATTTTTCTGTAGGAAAGTTTCCCTTGGTCAGTCAGAAGTAGGCAGGAAAAGAACAACTCTCTTGAGTTTGGCTCAGAAATATGACGTTCCCTGGGGAGGCCATGAGCTCCAGACACTTCAGGAGACATCAGCAAGTTATACAGGTGATACGGATACAGCTTGGAGGTCCAGCTTAATTCAGAATGTGGTCCCATGCAGGTGTTTGAACAGATTAGGAATCTGGGAATGAGGCACTAATGCAGAACCATAATGGCATTAAGTACTTACCTGGTTACTGGCACTCTTGATATCAGCAATCTCACTGAGACAACACGGAGGGGCTATGACATCTTTACTCTTGGAGGCCAACCTCATGCAGAACCATGTGTTGCTTACTGACATCAAGTTCAAGTCCTCAGAAGGATTTCCTGCCATTGATTTCAACTTTTCCCAGGTAGAAACATGAGTCCTCTCCCTTTCACAAGCTAAGGTTTCTTTCCAGCATGTTGGCAGCTCCAGTCCATGGTTTTCCCCAAGCTACTCCCTGATTCATAGACCCTTGTGCTATGGAGCACATTAGTAAGACTCTCACAGAATCTGGTGTAGCCATTTTATGCAAGAATCTCTACCATTTTCTTCCCAGGGCTTCTACCCTGGCCTCTTCCCAGGGTACTTGTGGCCAACAAATCTTATGTGCAGTTCACACTATCCCCTCAATCAATCTGCACAATAAGATGGTTGGCCTACAGACTGTCCTGGTGGTAGTACAATCATATGCTGTCTGTGGTATAGACTCCATGCCTGCAGATAGGTCTGCTGCAGCCATTGCTTTCCCAATTCATTAGGGGAAGATGGCAAAATGCTAGCATGATGATGTTCCTTTTCTGGTCCTTCCCTCCCTCCACCTATTCTCTTTTCAGTGTCCTTAGCACTTTTATCTTTTAACTCTCCAATCCATCTTAAAACCCATTTTACATCTTAATATTCTATTAGCACTTTAAAATCAGTTGCTTTCATCTGATTCTACCCTGCTTGACATTTTTTACTTAAACTTTAGTTCTATTAAACATTAAATAGTTTGTGGAGTACATATATTATACCATTGAAGTTGTAATTTGATTTGAGACTAAAGAGAATAATAACCATCACAGCAATATTACATATTTGGTCCTTACTGCATCTGGATGCTGTGTTAAGTACTTTACATGTACAATGATGGTACAGAATAATAATTTAAAAGCAGCAATATAATATCAGCCAACAGAGATTTAAATCCTCATTTGGCACTTTACTAGCATTGTAATCTAGGCAAATCAATGTCTCAAAGGCCTTCAATTTTTTCAGGTATAAAATGGAAATCCTGCTGGTACCTACTCCAGGGCTATTCTGAGAATGAACTGAGATATTGCATGTAAAACTCTTAGTGAATGTTTGGTACTTAGCATATTAGCTGTTACTGATACTAGCATTTTTTTTTCCATTTAATGAGATTGATCACTATAACCCCATTATATAGATAAGGGAAATTAAAGTCCAGAGAAGCTAGGTAATTTGCCCAAGATCATGCAACTGGCAATTGCCTGAAAAGGTACTTATGCCCAGATCTGACTGCGGAACCTGGGCTCTGACACAGCACACTGGTAGTTCTTGCCTCATGTTCTTTAAAACTACAGATGTCCCCAGGTATGCCCATGGGGCTGCAGCTGCTCATAGGTGGCTTTTTATTATTTCCAGTTTCACAGATAACTTTAATAACAGCTAAACAACGTACACTGCTTCCCACATACGAATGAGTCTCAAAGCCTTTCTCATGGTGCTGTGATCAGGATAAAATGAGGAGTATATGAAACTCATTTATAAGATTATAACAACTGTCATGTGTCAAGAGCTATTATTTCCCTAATTGATAAAAGAAAGGATAAATGATTCTTAAGGGTAGAATTTCAAAGGAGATTCTTGGTTGTTGGGCAAAAAACCTTGCACCTGACAAAAGGAAAGCTCATAGAAGACCCCTGAGTGGGTAAAGCAGTTTTTTGTGAGTTATGTTCTAACTCTGAGAGAAAATTTGGAAATTTTTTAGGCAAAAATATTAAAGAAAGAAAAAGAAACACACACACAAAACAAGAACAACAACAACCCAAAAGCTCTTGTTCCTTGGGGCAGAACAAGAATTTGAATCTCTGGGGTGAGTCATGCTATGATGTCAACTGATCTTTTCATCAGAAACTGGCAGTTTCTTTGACTCTGCTCTCTCCTCACATCCAGCATCATCAGTCACTGTACCTCTTTCAATCCAGTTCATCTTTCTTCTGTCCTCTTCCACTGCTTCTACTCTAAATCTCATTAACTTCTTTCCTAGAATATTTAAATATGCTCCTGATCCCATCATTTCTACATGCAGACCACAGCCCAGCTTAAAATTGTTTTTCTAGCTGAAGTCAAGTTTCCTTACTTTGCCAGTCAAGGATATCCATAATCTGTCTCTAGCACTAATTTTCCAGGTCTTTCTTCCCCCCCAGTCATGTATTATTCTCCCTGCTGTGTCTTTGTATTATTACATTCAGTTGATCTTCTCTGCTACCTTTCCACATGTTCAAGCTTTGTCCTACTTTCAACGTGAACTTCCAAGACCATTTCCTCCATAATTGTCCTGGTTCCTTCAAGTAAATGTGATCTTGCCATCCCATGAACTCATGTCACATATTATTTATACATTTCTACAAATTGTGGCATTGTGGGGAGGAAAAAAATTTTCCTCTACCGAACTTAGATTCTCCAGCATGGGACCTGGTAAATTAGACTGGCCAGAGACAAATTAACAGGAGAAAAACAAACATGTTTATTAATATTTGTATCATGAATGTACACATGGGAGCACCTAACAAGTAACTCAGAGGGGTGATTAGAACTTTGGTTTATCTCAAGCTAAACGGAGGTAAAGGAGTTTGCAGCTTCTGAGCAAGGGAGGCAGTTAAGGGAATGTGACCAGGGAAAGCATGGTAAACAAGAATTGCTTATTAAGGTTTGTTATGCGTATTTAAGAAGTGCTTTCTCCATTGATAATGATGCCAAAAACTTGGCCTCTGTGCACTGGTGCCGAATTGAATCTTGGAGACAGAGTTCTGGGTGAAGTAGAAAAGAATAGCTTTATTGCTTTGCCAGACAAAGGGGGACACAGTGGGCTCATGCTCCTCAAAACTATGTGTCCCAACCTGGGAGGATTTCATGGGGAGCTTTATAGCAATGACTCAAGAGCAGGGTTGCTGATAAGATTAGGGTGTGTGCAGGGCCAGCACTCCTTTAATCTGGTAATCTGTTGGTGAGTTTCTCTGGTTCCTTTAATCTGGCCTCAGGTGGTCTTCTCTGGAATAAAGAACGCTGACATCTTTCATTTGTTGGGGGTTTTAGTTCTGTAAATAGCTCAAAGATATTGTTATCCCTTAAGATGGAACCAAAACCCTGCCCCAAGTCTGCACTGTTGTTTCTTGGTGCTCCTCCCTTGTCTCTGCATCCCCTCCTGATTAGCAACTGTTCAAATCGGCTCTTTGGAACTCAGGGAAGGTCATGGAGGCTAGAGTCTATTCCCTACAAACAAGAAACAGGAGACACAGAAAGGCTTCTGTGCCCAGGAGACAACAGGGTCCTGCTCAGTTTCACTCTCCCTTTTTCTTTGATACTCCTCAATCTTGAGGAGAACAGATGTTGGACAAGAAAATGAATAATCATTTTGGATAGAGATGTTAATCATAAACTTGGCAGAGGAACTCGGTTTTAGGGAGACTTGGTTTTAATCCCCACTTAGATTTTATCTTTCCCCAAATCTTTCAGGGACGGCAATGATTGCTCTGGCTACTTCCTGCTGAAATGGGGTGTAGTCTGCCTAAATTTGGGGGAATGGATACTGAATTAGAAATATTTGAGGTCCAAGTCCTAGATCTGAGTTTTGTATGATTAAGATCTCAATTTCTTTGTCTGCCATTTTGGCACAACAGACCCAGTTAGAGGTAGGAGGAGTGACAACTGGAACTTTAGACAAAAATACGTCTCATTCTCTTAGGAATTCAGGAAAATAAGTCTGAAACCCAGTCTGGAACTGGTTTGGGGAGACTTGTTGCCAGTTATTTCCACACCATTCCCTGTAAGGGGGCAAACCCACCAAGGCAATCCTGAAGACCCCGAAATAGGAAGCTGACCACATATCCAGCAGTTAGAATTACTGAAAGAATCAGCATATGAATCTATAGTTTTGTGGGGAAAGGTAAAAGGTATGAGAAAGGATAAGAAAACAGAACTTTCATTTCGCTTGCCAGAACAAATACTTAAGGTTTCCCAAAAGGTGAGAGGTCCACTTCTTGGGAATCTGCTCACTGGCTATAGGCAGGCCTGGCTGGTCAGTCTCTGATAATCTTTTTACTCTAGTGTGATGTACCCATGGTTTTACTCCATACAATTTGAGAGGCATGAGTAGTAAGAAGAATGTCATAGGGTCCCTTCCATTTCTCTTCAAGCTGCTGCTCAGGTCCTTGCTCTTTCCACATTTCCAGCAGCACCCAGTATTCTGCTTTGAAGGGATGCAAGGGAACTTCCAGGTGAGGGGGAGACCTCTGGGACACAAACTCATGAGTAGCAGTTAACAGTTGGTCAATCTGTTGTACATACTGTTTAATTTTTACCTCCTGCATGAGAAACGTTTCTCTTTCTTTACTCTTAGAAGCTAAGAATTGTCTCCCATATATAATTTTGTAAGGGCTCAATCCTAGCCTGCTTCTAGGGGCCAACTGTATATGGAGGAGAGCAATTGGCAAGACCTTGTCCCATTTTAGATGAGTTTCCTCCATAGCTTGGTGAGAGTTTTCTTCAGGGTGTGATTCATCTTCTCGGCCTTTCCTGTAGATTGGGGTCTCCATGATGAATGAAGTTTCCATTTTATACCTAAAGCTTTATTTACTGTTTGTGTTATTTCTGTGACAAAAGCAGATCCATTGTCACTCTGAATAGTAGAGGGAAGGCCGTACCTAGGAATAATGTCCTTAAGAAGGGCTTTTGTCACTTCTGATGCTTTTTCCACTCTGGCTGGGAAGGCCTCTACTCAACCTTGATCCACGTATAATCCTCATAAATCTTTAGCCAAAGTCTCGTTGAAGAGGGTGAGGGAATTTTTAAATCCTTGTGGCAGCACCATCCAGCAGTACTGACTTGTTGTTTTGGAATTGGAGTCTTGCCATTCAAAGGCAAATAGCAACCACAATTTCTTTTCTACTGGAATACAGAAAAAGACATCTTTCAAATCTAATACAGTGAAGCAATCATAATCTCCAGGTATGGTTCTTAAGTAAGGTATATGGGTTTGGAACTGTAGGATGAATGTCCTAAATTATTTCATTTATGGCTCACAGATCCTGAACGAGTAAGTATTCATTGGTATGAGGTTTCTTGACCGGAAGAATAGGAGTATTACAAGGAGACCTGCAGGGTCTACTTAGTCCATACTTTAGAAATCCGTTTAAAACCGGCTGGATTCCTTGTATGGCCTCTTTCTTAAGAGGGTATTGCTTTTTTCCTTGGATATGAGGCTCCCATTTTTACAGTGATAGAGACTGGGGAGGCAAATCTGGCCTGTCTGCATGCCCCATCAGCACAGATAGCCTTACTCACTTTTTCTGTGATCTTCTCCAGAATCAGAATGGTTGCCTTTTACTGATATTGGAGAGGGAGGCATCTCTACGAAGAGAAATTTCCTCTAAAAATGTAAATTTCCTTTATAAAAGGAAAACTTGTACTTGTTTCTAGAGCTTTTCCTGCTTGTTCTCAATGTACTTTAGTTCAAAATAGTCCATATGCCAGAGAGGTATTTGGGGGTGATGTATCCTGGTACCCTTCAGCATGCATCATTCATTACCTTATATCTGAAAACATTGAATCTTGTCTCATAGTATTACTATATTTGGATTGTCCTAACACAGATTAAACTTGGGAACATTTCCCTTTCTGCCTCAGCAAGAAAGATGCTTTAAAGGGGGAAAAAATGAGGTCCAGCTCTTTTAAAAGAGCCTGGGTGGGTGGCTGAGGTGGGGTGCACTCTGCAATCACTGAGTCATCATTCCTATCCTCAGGAGAGAAAAGCACTTGGAAACACTAAAAGTTGCTTTACTTAAGGAAGATTGGTGTGACTGGGTGGCCCCACTGTCCTTGGAAAGAAAACAGAACAAAGCCTTTTATGTTTCTTAGTTTAAACTAAGAGCAGCCCCAGGATTGGGAGAGTTAGCAGATGCTCATCCCAATCGTGACCCACCCTCTGAAGCTACTGAAGAGCAACAGAATATGCCACTCCAAAACATACCTCTTGAGCATAAGGATTATTTTTAGCCCATTATATTTGAGGAAGAGCAGACACAGGGGCATCTCTGAAAACAGAATAGAAATTGCGCTTTGGTAAGGGACATTTACATTTATAAAGGCAATCTCCATTTGTAAGGGTGTCTGCCTCTCTGTCCCAGGAAGAGGAGGAGGACTTTCCATCTCCAGAAATTCTTATCAGTGGAGAAGGCAGCAACTTAAATCTGCATAGCAACCCTTACTCTTGTTACCAAGCTTTTCCTGGTAACCTCCCATAACTGGCCTCCCCTTCAAAATGTCTTTCTTTTGTCTTTTGCTGGAGATGGTATTTAAGATGGCAGCTTTGGCCATTTCTGGTAGTTTTACTCAGTTTTTCTGGGTATATCCCATGTATACAGGAGGTATACATGTTGACGAAATAAAATTCCTATTTTATGGCAGGATGAAAACATTTTAAATATAACTTATTTCTTTGCCAGTTTGGGCCTCATGTGCATCTGCATTAACCAGACCTGCTTAGGAGATAACATTCCTTGCTTCTTAATCACATCAAGGGTTACAACTCCTTAGGAGATAACCTTCCTTCTTAATCTTTTAATGGGCCAGGATGACACATGACCCACTATGTGCTTCTTTGTACATGTAGATCTGGATTGTGTAAAGTGTCAATACATCATTTGAAATATAACCCTTTGTCTCAAAAATGTATACAACTGCTTTGACCTCTAATGGGCAAAACAGTCCTCAGAGCTTTCTGAAATACTGTTTTCCAGGTTATAATCCTCAGGTTGTCTCATATAAAATTTTCCATTTCTTTCTTGATTAACTATTAATTTTTCCATCAAGAATGTTACTAAACTTCTGTTGGTTTTTCTCCAGTTAATCTGTCTTTTATTATGGGGGCAGGGTCTCAGTCAGGAACCTAGAAGGGTGGAAGAAAAATTATTTTTCTTCCCTTACCCTGTCCTGTGGCCTGTGAAGTACGAGAATGGTTTTAAAGAGGCATCATCCCAGTGCACCTGCCAGTGCCCTTAACAGAGCACCCTGCTTAGCCCCTGGGCTCACACGTCCCTGGTGACCCTGCCCAGGAGCTTCAGGAGAGAATGGATCTTAGCATACCTGGGGATCTTAGGGTCTGCACGTTAGATTGCTGATCTAAGGCACTTACTCATTCATTAGGGCAGCACTGGGAGTCTGGTTCTGAGTGTTTAACCCCATAGGACCTCCGGGAAGGGAGTTATTTTGGATTTGCTGCTACTCCTAATAGGTAAGGCGAACATTGTCAAACCCATTTTCCCATGATGGATTGGAACCCAACAGTAACAACCCTGAAATGTTGAGGCAAGGGCCACCCCAGTTACAATAATAAAACCGCTTGAGTAGATGGTTTCTGTCTTGTTCAGAGAGGCCAATAGCACCTTGTACACCAGGTGTTAATACTTACTGAACAAAAGTTATACAGTTAGATTTTGGTAATTGATGTTTTACTGTCTTTGATATGCAATTCATCTTGAATTTTTTTTCTAATATAGAGTATAGATGACAACCTTTATATAATAAGACATCAAGTTCTTTGGATGACTCTAAAACATAATTTATATACATTTAATAAAAATATGAACATATATATATATATATATATAAAGAAGTATGCTAGATATAGAATAAGAGTGATGAAAAGCCACAGCCCCTGTGCCTAAGAAACTGAAAAAATATATTTACAGCTTTACCAAATTCATGTATGTAACTTCTATTCATTCAGAAAAAAAAAAAAAAGCATCTTGCTGTCTAGTCAACACCTGGCTAAATACTGGATAACACAGTCCAGCCCTTGACGTAGCCATTGAACAAGAAAAAAATTACTATATAACTATAAATTCTGATGAGCACCATGAAGAAAACGAGTAAGGTAGAAATTAACCCACTCAGTTAGATTGGTGAGGGAAGATCTTCATGAAAAAGTGAGGTTTCAGCTGAGACCTGAAGGTCACGATCATTTATGAGAAAGTTGGTCCAGACAGAGGGACCAGTGTGTTGAAGCCTCTAAGGTAACACATACCTTTTAGATAGATCAGGCAAGGTATTATTAGAGCATGAATATTACAGTGATAGTAGTAGCAGGACAGATGAAGAGAAGTCAGTTGATTTGAAATATGTTTTGAGATATATCTTGCATAATTCAGTGGTGGGATAATTAGAAGGAACTGGAAAGAGGATAATCAAAATGACCAATACTTACCACTTGAGCAGCTGAGTGGTACCATTTACTGAATGAGTAGCTTAAGTAAGAACAAATTGAGATTGGGGTAAGGACCAAAGAGCTCCTTTGTGACATAACTTCATCACATTAAATGCTCAATCTTTTTCAATATTAAAGCAAAAAAACTAAATATTACATTCAAAGATTTTGAATGTTTTCTTTTCAGCAGGTATCTACTGCATGAATGCAATGAGCTGAAAATACAACGATGGATATAAATACAAAAAGTTCCTGCTCTCCTGGAACTTACAATCAGGTGAGAAAGACAGACACTCAGCATGCAAACAGATGTGATGACGATCATGTGATATGGTTATGTGGGCATATGCGGTGGTGAATGGATCTTAGCAAGCCTAGAACGACTGGGGAAGTCCTTTCTGGGGAACTGATATTTAAAACCAGGTTGTGAAAGATAAGTAGGCGTTTGCTGGGTGAAGAGCTGAAAGCTCAGGAGACTGTCCAAGAAGCGGGAACAGCCCAGGTCTATTGATATGTGTTCTCTGGTATATTTGTCAAAGTGGACAATATTTGTTAATTCAGAGGAAGAATGTACAGGAGTAAATGGGGAGTTCAGGTTTGATGGGTGATAAAGAGGTACTGAGACACTGAATACAGAAAAAAAGCAAGAAATTGCTAGTCATAGCTAGGTAAGGAAAGGAGTTGAAGTACATTTGAGCCTGATGGGACATTAATTTTTACTGAAAACCTTTGTGTAAGAATTAGGTAGCCTTTTTTATTCCTGTCATCAGGCTAATATTTTATACTTAATCCCTCTCTACCTCTGAAAGCATAACAATGCATTTTAATTCTTTACAAAATTGCTGTCAATAGGGCATTTGGGTTATTCTTCTCAGGGTACACATTTTGTTTCTTTTCACCCAGAGTTGATATTTCCTTGGGGGGAAAAAATGGAGCAGGTTTTATGAGAACTAAAGTATGTCACAAAACAACTACTACACCTTTCCCCAAAAAAACTTCTAAAGAAATTTTGAAATCAGAACATTTCTGATTTTCTTTTTCTGTCCATAACACTGGGCATGCATTAGAGTAAGAAAAAGATTGCAAAAGGCAAAGGCATTCTTTCACTTAAAAGCACAATTTGTGGGAAAGAAAGATTAAAATATTTATTGTTTTTCTAAAAGCTTTACCAAATGATGGGAAGTCAACATGATTAATCATCATGATTTTACCACTGTGACACTGGATTATCAAAATAGTTGTCCAATTTCAGAAATCGCTGCTTTTAATGTATTTTTATGACACATAAATGGCCCCATGATCTAATGGAACATACAAATATATGGAAGCTGAATTATATTAGCACAGCTAAATGCAGCTGATAGAGGTAATGCATAGAAATCTTGAGCCCAGTGCTTCCTTCTCTCTGAAACCATCCTATCTTCCTTGGAAGACCTGCTTACTTTCTGAACTCAGTCCTTCAATACAGCAGTTGTAATTGATTCTAATTACTGCTCACATGCCTGACTCCTTCACTAAACTGAGTGACTCAAAGGCAGGGAATGTTTATTATTTATCTTTCTAACCACAGGACTTTAGATGCTCAAAAATATATTTCTGCAGGAATAAATATGAGTGAAGCTATTATGACACACTATTGAGGTTATCAAAGATTGGGCCTTTGTCTTAATAACATGCATAAAACTTTAAAGGGGATGTTCATTTAGAAAGACCCCCCCCACCCCGGCAACGAAGCCAACACCCAAAAACCCCTCTTGGCCACTTTGACACCTAGTTCTTATAAATGTTTCCCTTCCTTCCATGTATTCACTCTCATAATCTAGTGAGTGTAAGAAACACAGCCATGTTTAAACATCTGGGATTCATCAGGCTGGTTCTCTTAATCAAAGTTAGGAAATCAGCTCCAGATGTTGCCTAACTAAAGTTACATAAGCATTGTTCATATTTTTAAGTACAATCAGAGTTAAGTTCCCATTTCTTGAAAGTAGCTTAATTTGTATAGGTAGGAGTTAGACTCTGCTCTATTTTTTAAAAATTAACTCTCAACTTAAATACAGAGATAAGGCTGATAGATCTCTCTAGAAGTGAATGAGTATCAATGAGAATTCAAGATATATATTTTGAAATCATACATTTAACCATATTAGCTCAAAGATGCCATGAGAAGGAAAGAAAAAATAATACTGTCCAAGTGCCCACTATGTGCTTGTGTAGGGGAGGGAAAAGAATTTTCCCTCTGCCCTTCTAGGTCTTTGGCTGAGACACCCCTGTAATGAAAGACAGATTAATAGAAGTTTAATAACATGTATACCTGGGAGAGACCCATGGAAATCTGAGTATACATGGAAGATATACCTAGGAAATACCCAGAAACACTGAGTAACTCCCCAAAATGGCCTAAGTCACCACCTTAAATACCATCTCCAGTTAAAGACAAAAGAAGATGTTGCGAGTAAGGCAAAGAAGCCAGTTATGTGGTTACCAGGCAAAGCACAGTAAACAAGGGTATGGTTATCATGTGAATTTAAGTTGTTACCTTCTCCATTGATCAGAATTTCTAGAGATTTAGTCATTCTTCCTGGTACAGAGGAAGAGACTTCCCTTATAAAAGAAGGCTTACCTTATTAATGTGAATGTCTCTTACAAAAGCATAACTTCTACTGGTTTTCAGAGCTTCTCCTGTGTCTGCTGTTTCTTAAAAGTAACCAGCTCAAGAAAATCCATATGCCAAAGAGGCATATTTCAGGGTGGCGTATTCTGTTCACCTCCAGCCCAGCTGTTGAAATTTCTTCAAGGAATTTCATAGTACAGAAGTTGAGTTGAAAGACTTCTCCATATCTATCTCATTGAACCAGTATTAGTCTTGAAATAGGTCAGTTCAGTTAAACAGTTGTGTCTCATTTCAGGAGGCAGTCTTGCAGGTGGGCTCCCAAAGTTAGACCTATATGGTGCAAGCAATTAGGTATTAATAAAGATATCCTGAGGTTCCTGCACCTGCAGGTTTACCCAACTGGTAAGAAAACTTTGTCCTTTTAGCAGATGAAAGAAAATTAAGTTTTACATAAGTATAATATTGATATTAAAGCTTATTTTAAAAATCCTTATAACAATTCAATTTTATCCAGCTTAACAACACAAGATTCTCTCTTCAGAACTTTTAATATCCATTTAGATTGTTATTTATTCTCATCTTTTCCATTCTGAAGTAGCTGGTTGTTCTTGAAGACAAAATTCTTTCATTTCCCTTAACAAAAATGCATCTCCATATCTCATACTTTGTTACCCAATAACATACCCTACTTTCCTTGCATACAAAGATGGAATAGTTTCTCTTACTACTGAGAGTAGTTTTAATTACATTAGAACTCTTAACCTGCAGAAACCTTAATTTCTAGTGAAAACTCAGAAGTAAGCAATTGTGAATGACTTGTTACAACAGTGTTCTTTAGATTGGTAAATTTATGAATACAGTTCATAATTTCTAGAAGTATATGCCTTTTTTATAGTACAGTTTTTCAATGTGGCATGAGACATGTTTACTAATAGACCCAAACATTTTTGGTTTATCTACTTTTTTTATTACAGAGGTACTAATGTTAAATTTTCTTATTTAGAAATGATGTAGATTTCAATGAATTTATATCCTTTAATTTAGCAAAATTTTAAGTTCCAAGTTACTAAAAAGATTTTGGAAGCTTTAAAAGATTTTAAAGGAGACATATCTTATAAAACATTATTGTTGAAAAGTTTATTTATAAACTTCTAGTCTACCTTCAACTATTTCATTTGTTATTAATAATCATATTTTGATTCTTTATGAAAGTTTCATAATTTTCTCTTGCTGACAATTTTTGTAACAGATATAACATGAGCTTAGCTGAGTAGTAAACCCAGGTAGAATAAAAGTTGCACCTCTGCATTGTATTTAATGCTAATAATACTGAAGACATTTCTGTTTTAATTAAACTAACACACTTCAACTAGCTTTCATTTACCAAATATTATTCCAGATCACATATACTTGAAAAACATTAGTTTCTGTATTTCTGTGAGTTTTGGAATACCTAATCCATACAGCGTTTTCCTTCAAGCCAACCAAATAGAGTTTTTACAAATTTTGACAGTACCATCTAGAGATAGAAAAATAACACATCTACAACATACATATGTAGACACACATGATCATATACAGAGATACAAAGAGAAATAGTATAGCTTTTATTCTAAAATTTTAGCCATCAGTCAGGTACAAAACTGACTAATTTATTTTAAAACAAAAACAAAAAACAATTGGATCCAAATTGTGTTTCTGGCAGATAAGCAGGAATAAGTTTACCTGCTCAGATGGCTGAAGCTTTTTTACTAATATTTGTGGAGAAGACACTTAAGATTTCTTATCTGCCCAATTTCTAAATAGCTTTTTTTTTTTCCCTCTAGATGAGAATGATTTACCTACAGTTTGCATTTCAAAGAAATGGCTGTCAGCTCCTACAGAAGACAAGGTAGGCACAGAGAAAGTGTACAAGTTTTCTCCAAGACGAAGTTTTTGGGATACTATTAGAGGTCTAGGGAAATTACTATTTAAAAATGTTTCCTTTTTCTCAAGTGCAGGACAATTCTGTTTCCACTGTCCTAATCTTTTACAATATCTGCAGGCATCTGGAGATCAATAGGGAAGATTTGGGGATTGGTAAGGATAGGTGGACTTTGAATTGCTTCTAGAGCTACATTTCTGGTTTCGTAAAGATTTTAAAGACAAAGACAGTTGTTTTTAATTCCTCAAGGAATTGGATTGTGGGCTGAATTATATCAAGGTCTGCCCATCCAAATACATTATCTTCAATTTCCTTCTTTTATATCAACAAGATTTCCAACCAAGATGGAAATCAAAAGAATCCTATGTTTTGGAACTTCAGGGTTTAATGTGGTATGCTTTTGTAAAGTCTGTATAAATGCTTACCTTTTTTTCTGCATGTTCAATTCAACCTCAACCAGTTCACCTTAGGATGAAAAGCTCTGCTATTGCTTCTGTCAGCTTCTTAACATCAACCTCCAGCTGAGCCATTTCCTGATCATGTGTAAGAGGGCCTGGGAGAAATTCTGTTCATCTGTTACCTCTGTAAGAGGTGTTTTCCCCAGGGGGCCATCTGGCTTTTCTGTTAACTACAGTAATATAATGAAAGAACACCCCTTAGCAGCCCCAATCAAGGTCCCCTGTTAGTAGAAATGTGAATGTCCACTGATCTTTTCAACTCTTCTATAAATTTGGTAGGATCTTTTGAAACTGGAAGTAAAAGGGGGGTTTATATAATTTTGTCTTGTTAAGGAAACCCCTAAGGCTAGATGCCATACTCTTTTGTGTCTTCTTTTCAATGTTATCTTTCCATAGGTATCAATAAGACAGTTGTTTACAACTTTTTTCAAAACAACTTTTTTCAAATATAGAAGTTTTTCCAGTTCAAAAGATCCCTCATCTGGCCATTGACAAGTAGAATCCTCAATATATTTATCTCAGTAGTGACTCAAACCAATAAGCCTTTAATGGACTTAACTATGGACACAAAAGGCATTGCAAAAGATAGTGCAGAAGATAAAGCCCCCATAATCCAAAATGTTCACTCCCAGAGTTGGCCTAAGAAAGCAAAGAGACCTTCACTGTCTCAGGTGCTAAGAAAGGCGGGAGGGAAAACGGGTCTTTGGTCTCCCAGAAGATGAAATGCCTCTACTTATAGTCCTGCTAATCTGTGACACTGGGCATGTAAAATTGGAATGGGACTTTTCGGCACTAATGAGACAATAAAGGCTGAGATGACAAAGGCCCTTTATGGACCAGGACCCCTTAAGACAAATCCCCTGTGAGCCAGCTCTAGTGGACAAAGAGAATGCGGCTTGTCAGTTCATGTCCTGGACCCTCAGACTGTTTTAGCTGGCAGAGAGAATATCCTCATTTGCCACGAAGCCAAGCTCTCAAAACGTTAAATAAGACAAAAGGAAAATTTCATCTTGCCCATGGTTCTCCTCCTTATAACAAAGGACACAAAAGACAGAGACAAAACAATGACCATTTCTGGGAGGAAAGAGAAAACAAGAGCAATAACAAAAATCTTTACCAGTTGCTATATGCAAGAAACTAGTTCACACAAATATTTTTTCCTGCTAATCTAAATTTAGAAAGGAAGGGACAAGAAATTTTTACCTTCTCCTTTAAACTGGGCATAGAGAGAGAGATTTGGGAGAGCTGACTTTGGTAAGAATTTTTACTTTTTGCCAGCTTCTACCAGTCTTCCAGGATCCCATCTGCAGGCTCTGGAGTGAGTATGGTGTCTCAGCAGGTCCCATCATGGGTCACCAAACTGGTGGGGAGGAAAGATAATTTTCCCTCTACACTTCTAGGTTCTTGGTTGAGACCCCCTGTACTAAAAGACAGATTAACAGGAGAAAAACAGAAGTCTAATAACATGGAAAACTGAGTAACTCCCCAAAATGGTCCAAACCACACCTTTACATACCAGCTCAAGACAAAGGAAGATGTTGGGAAAGGAAGGAATAAGCCAGTTATGGAAGGGTATCAAGCAAAGCGAAATCAACAGGGGTATAGTTGCCTTTTCCATTGAATAAGAGTGTCTAGAGATTTAGTGATCCTTCTCTGCCTGGTATAGAAAGGGAGACACACTTATAAATGGACATTTCCCTTATAAATGTGCATGTTGCTTACAAAACGGACAACTTCTACTCAATTTTCAGAGCTTCTCCTGTGTCTTAAAAATAACCAGGTCAAGATAATTTTTATGTCAAAGAGAAATATTTGGGGGGGGTGGCATATTCTGCTCTCCTCACTGGAAATTGTCATATGTAATTCCACATGTACTATTTTGTTGGCCTTGATTCTTATAATAACTGTGTAAAATAGAAATTATCTCCATTTTACAAATGAGGAAATACAGGTACATAGAAGTTAATTACATCATTGAAAATCATATGCATAGTGTCTAACCTGAGATTACAGTGAGATTACTCTGACCCCAAATTTAGTACTCTTTCCATGTGTTGTCTTTCTCTGTAATCTTAGACAATATGGGCCAGAAGGATAACATTGAAAAATATTTTAAAAGTATATCTACAACCTTCTTGGAAACTGTTTTCCCAAGGAAGACCGTAAGTGTGAAACCTATGTCTGCTTTTCATATATAATTTAGTATTTTGTTCATATTTTAGTAAAATAATCAATTTAATGATTTGATAACATAATTGGATTTTTATGAAGCTCAAAAAAGTCTGGAATACAGGGAAAATAAAGTGAATCAATTTAATCCCACTGCTAGGAGCTCTATAATAAGCACTCTCTAATCCAGAAATGCTGTAGGGCTCTAGAAGAAGCCTATTTGCTATCAAATAAAGGCCATGCACTGACTTTTGATGTTAGCAGAAGGATAGGATAGATGTTCCAAATGGTCCTCCTATGGCAATGCAAGTTGATCCTGCATAATTACAACATACTTGTTTTTTAAACTAGAGTTGAGCACAAAAGCAAACAAACATAGAAAATCTCCAAAGGTTAAGATAAGGAAGAGAAAAGATATGTGGGGGAAGAATAAAAAGAACAGGGAGCTAAACCCTGAATAGTGCCAGGAAACAAATACAAAACTCAAGCTTCTCCAATTCTAACAGCAGTCTTGGGCTCAGGAGACATCTAAGCCATTCTCTGCAAGGTAGGGATGCTGAATATTAAGGCAGGATGCTCCATAGGAACTAAAGTGGTTGTAGGTATACATACCTTTGGCTCAGTGAAGCAAATGCAAATCTTCTGTGGAAGAAAGCCACCCTACATTAGCCCTTCAGAATTCTCAAAAGTTGTGTAATTAAAATAAAACTTACAGTTTTTTAAAAAAATCACTTAACAATAAATAGAATAGGCTGCATGAGTGAGTCATGAGAAACAACAAAGAATAAAACTGTCAAAACCTGGAGATATTAAAATTGGCTGATAGAAAATATAAAATGTTATAAAAGTCTAAAAAATTTAAGAAACACAGTAAAAATAAGTAAGAAACAAGTTATTAAGAATCAAATAGAAGCTTTCTAAATAAAAAATATTTATTGAAATTAAAAGCTCAACTGCTATATTAAATCACATGTTAGACACAGCTAAAGAGACAATGAAGTAGAAGCAAGAACTAAAGAATTTGCAGTTGAGAGATGAGGGTATGAAAATATAAAAGAAAGGTTAAGAATCACTGAAGACAGAATAAACACAAGAAGGTCAAACTCCATTTAATTGTAGTCCTTGAGAAAATAATACAGAGAGGCAATAGTGGAATAATTGAAAATCGGGCTGAGAATTGCTGAGTCTTATGAACATGAGAGCCTTATGAGAATTATGATAGACAGAACCATAATAATCACAGGAAAATCTATATGTAAAACTTCAGAACACCCACAATAAAGGAAGTATCTGAAAGTCCCCCAGAGGAAAAAAACAGAACTATAATAAAGAAAATTTAGTCTAACAAACAGTATACTTCTGAACAGCTTCAATGGAAGTCAAAAGTCCTTAGAGCAAAATCTTCAAAATATTGGGAGACATAATTATGAACTAATTGTGTTACAAAAATTCTTTTTCAAGGTCATTATTTTAATAAAGACATTTACAAAAAGAAAAACTGAGTCTACCACCAACAAACATTTACTAATGTACATTCTAAAAGATGTACTTAAATAAGGAAAGAAAGATTATAGATATAAGTTATGAAATGGAAGAAGAAATGTTGATCAAAGAAATTGTTAAACATGTAAATTAATCTAAAAAATGTAAAAATAATTAATAAACAGATAACTTCTTTGTTAAATGATGAACAACTTTTTGTTAAAAAAAGACAATAAAAATACTACTGATAGACTACACAGTCCAACACAGTATCTATTAGCCACAAATTACTATTTAAACTTAATAAAATTAAGTTAAAAATTCAGTTGCTCACTCATACTACCTACATTTCTGGTGCTTAGTAGCCATATGTACTGGAGGTCCTATATAGTTTGTAAGACAAGAGTTACAACAAATATGGAAAAAAACTAAAATGTCACTATTAACAAATGATATGATTGTCTACATGGAAACCCAAAGAATATACCAACAAAATATTAGAATGCTTATCAAAGTACCTGAATATAATATTTAAAAATTAATGTGTTAATATACACCAGCTACAAATTTAAAGCATAACTTAAAATATATATTATTAATAATATAAAAAATACAATGAAACAGATACTTTAAAAGATGATTTGCAAAAAGCTAAGGAACAAAGACTTAATTTTATTGAAAGCTATTTTTTAGAGCACAGAAATATAAAAAGAAATATACCATGTTCATAGATGGGAGGAGGGGATAACTCAATATAATAAAAAAAGTTCTTAAATTTCACTACATATTTAATCAAAATTTAACAGGAATTTTGAGGAAATGAGTTAATTCTAAAACTTACTTGAAAAAGCAAAGTCCCAATAACAGGTAAAGCATAACTGAAGAAGAATAAGGTGGGAAAAATTGTGCTGCCAGATACCAAGCTTTATTATAAAGCTATGCCAATGAATAAAATGTGATATTTATTCAGGGAGAGACCAACTGGCCATTGGTATAGAATATTCAATAGATTAGAAAGCCCCAAAACATCTTAATAGTACTTGGTAATGGCAAAGGTGATATCACTGGAGAAAGGAGCTATGTTAAAAAATAAAATTAATTTTTTGTTTATATAATACATATATATAAATTACAGGATTGACTAAAAAGTTTCCTTTTGGAATTATTTAAACTTTCAGAAGAAAATTTAGAAGATAATTTTTATGATCACAGAATAGGGTAAATGTCAACCTTAAATGAAAAAATATTGCTAAACTCAATTATATTAATAGAATATTAATAGAAAAACTTGTTTATCAAAAGCCACCATAAAGAAAATAGAGTCCAAACCACTAATTATTTGCAGCATATAGACTCAACAAAGGATCAGTATACGTTAAGTATAGTTATGCTTATGAAGCAACATGAAAAAGAACTACCCTTCTCCCATAAGCAAAACAAAACACACACACACACACAAACCAACAACCTCATAAATGACCAAACAGGCATTTCAAATGAGAGAAAATACTAATGATTCAGCCTCATTAGTAATCAGAGAAGTGCAAATTAGTGTCACAATGAAATACATTTTATTTCTATTAAAAAAATTGAATTCTGATATCAATTGCTGGCAAGAAAGCAGAGTGATAAAAAAAATATAAACAGCTTTAGGGGACATATAATTGAAACATCTAATTTGAAAAACAATCTTTTGTAAATCTAAACATGAACGTACCTATAACTGAGGAATTTTACTCCCAGAAACAAAAACCTAGAGAATTGCACATGAGTCCCAGAAGATAAGATTAAGAATTGTATAAATGACAATAATAATTAAAACAATAAAAAAATCAGGTAACGGAAGCATTGACCAAAAAGAAACTGTATACATTGATTATGGCATACTCACTTATAATAGAATGTTATATAGCTCTGAAAATGAGTGAACTATACCTATTGGAACACAATAGATGAATCGTAGAAACACTGTTGAGTGCAAAAAACCAAGTTGAAGAAAATTACACATTATGAAATTATATAAAGCATATACATGCATAATTATATAATTACCTAAGTTAGATGCTATAAATTTTACAATGAGCTTCTGATTTTACTTAGGGATTGCTACATATGTGAAGATTTTATTTAAGAGGGAAAGGGGGCTTCCCTGGTGGCGCAGTGGTTGGGAGTCCGCCTGCTGATGCGGGGGACACGGGTTCATGCCCCGGTCCGGGAGGATCCCACATGCTGCAGAGTGGCTGGGCCTGTGGGCCATGGCTGCTGAGCCTGCGAGTCCGGAGCCTGTGCTCCGCAATGGGAGAGGCCACGGCAGTGAGAGGCCCGCATACCACAAAAAAAAAAAAAAAAAAAAAAAAAAAAGAGGGAAAGGGACGCGGGTTGGAGACAAGATGGGGAAGTAGAAGGACTTGAGCTCAACTCCTCTCACGAGAACACCAAAATCACAACTATCTGCTGAACAACCATCAACAAAAAAGACTGGAACCTACCAAAAAAGATATTCTACATCCAAAGACAAAAAAGCACCCACAACAAGATGATAGGAGGGGTGCATCTGTGATAAAATAAAATCCCATACGTGCCAGGTGGATGACCCACAAACTGAAGAATAATTATATTGCAGAGGTTCCTCACAGGAGTGAGAGTTCTGAGCCCCACGTCAGAATCCCCAGCCTGGGGGTCTGATATCAGGAGGAGGAGCCCACAGAGCATGTGGCTTTGAAGGCCAGTGGGGCTTGATCGCAAGAACTCCAAGGACTGGGGAAAGTAGAAACACCACTCTTGGAGGGTGCACACAAGGCCTCATGTGCAGCAGGTCCCAGGGAAAAAGCAGTGACTTCATAGGAGCCTGGACCAGACCTAACTACTGGTCTTGGAGGGTCAACTGGGAAGGTGGGGGGTGGCTGTGGTTCTCTCTTTGAACATAAAAGCTGGTAGCGAACATATCTGGAAATACTCATCTGAAGGCTGACATCTTGCTTGGGACATTAGCACCAAGACCTGGACCCACCTAACAGCTTATAGGCTCCAGGGCTGGGATGCCTCAGGCCAAACAATCAACAGGGCAGGAACACAGCCCACCTATCAGCAGACAGGCTTCCTAAAATCGTCCTTAGCCCACAACCTGCCTCTAAACACACCTGCTGACAAGGCCCTGCCCACCAGAGGGACAAGACCCAGCTCCACCCACCAGTGGGCAGGCACCAGTCCCTCCCACCAGGAGGCCTGCACAAGTCTCTAGACCAGCTTCACCCACCAAGGGGTAGACATCAGAAGCATGAGGAACCACACCATTGCACCCTATGAAATGGAAACTGTAATCACAGAAAGTTAGACAAAATGAGATGGCAAAAAAATATAATCCAGATGAAGGAACAAGATAAAACCTCAAAGAACAACTAAGTGAAGTGGAGAGAGGCAATCTACGCAAAACAAAATTCAGAGTAATGACAGTAAAGATGATCCAAGATCTCAGAAAGACAAGGCACAGATTGAGAAGATACAAGAAATGTTTACCAAAGACCTAGAAAAAATAAAAAACATACAAAGAGAGATGCACAATACAATAACTGAAATGAAAAATACACCAGAAGCAATCAGGAGCAGCATAAATGAGGCAGAA